GCAGGGACTATTTTGGTGTATAGTTGTTCTCTAATCTAGCAACCCAAGATGACAGTTCCAGCCTAGGCACCTCTCAAATACATAATCTATCAGTAGAGTAATTAATAGTAATACTTTTATTTATAGGTTTGAGGACAAACCTAATTATAGTATATGTCCTAAGCTATAGCCATAATTCCTAAAGAAATACTTATTCGCTATAGCAACCTGGCTCTAATACCAATCTGCCACACCTTCCCCGGCCAACGATGGAAAATGTCGAGTGGCGACGATACAAATATTTCCCAAATCACAAAGCACAAATCATAATTACCTATCTAACGAAAATCTACAAGTCTCATGTCGATAATCCTTTCTTAACTGGATCTCTACTCCATCCTAGGAACACATGCGATTTTTGAAAACGTCAACATAAAGTTGGTGAGTGCACAAGTTTTTATAGTTTTCGAATTTTATTTGCTTGTATTAATTTAAGAATCCTTTTTCTTTTAGAAAAACCTTTCCTAAATTATTTTATCAACCCGAGCTTACTATCTTTTAGGATATCTAACGATTCTATCTTATTATTTTTTTAGGATATATTTATTAATCCTAATTTACTATTTTTGTAGGATATCTAACGATCTTATCTTATTAACTTCTAGGATATCTAACGATCCTATCTTACTATCTTTTAGGATATTTATCTAATCCTAACGTATTTTATCTACCATTCTAAGGCATCCCTAATGGTAGTCGGGTCTCTACGGTGATCTAATGTATTACCATGAGTCCCCATAATCGACACTTCTTGACATCGAATAGTGAAAATTTTGAAAGTTATCCTATCAGGATTGTAGCTAGGAATCATTGGTGGGGTTGTCAGACCCTATATAGATCTATACATATATTTCTAGCACTCGCATGATTAACGATTGTAGGTATCTGGGGAATGTCGAATTTAATCAAGGCCGTTGGGGGATTTGGGAATTAACAGCTCACTAAAGCATTGACCTTAAGTATTTATCTTTTATCATTTATCTTTTATCTTAATCCTTCCTAGGGATTTCCTATAACTATCACAATATAAATCTTTTATATTATATTTGATCATTAAAACATTGATCACATAATTATATTTTATATATAATTATTCATATATATATATAATTATGGTTATTTAAAAACAGGATATTTGGGCAAAGTAACAACTAAGTACGGTGCATATTCCTAAATTTGACCAACATATCTCGAGAGATTTAGTCATTATAACATGTAGTTATTATCTCTTCCTAGACTATCGGGCATCATATCTCTTAGGCATAATATCAAAGCTTACAACTAGGCATAATATCTATAGTTATATTATCCTAAGGCTTTAATCTTTATAAAATGATTTGATATTTATAACTATAAATATATTTTGATTAAACCATTTGATCAGTATGTATCTCCCCCCAACCGTTAAACATTTAAAACAGTGAAATAGGGGCGTGTACTCACTCTAGTAGCATATTTTGAAGCATCTGGGCCATTGCATCCGAAGCTTCGCTCCATCGAGAGGGTCTCCGAAACAGCTTGAGAGAGTGTTTGGGATGAGAAAATAAGAAAGTTACCACCTCTATTTATAAGGGTTGTGCACGCGACGCACTTCATGCGCGGCATGCACTCGCTTCGTGGCTCCATCCAGAGCTTGCCACGTGTCACACTTCTAATTGGCCATGTCTCCCTAATCTTCTACGAATCTGGGTGTCAGGTGTGCACGATGGGCATGACACGCACACCTAAATATTTTATAAAAATTCATATCTTCTTTATATGAATCTTGTTTCTTACCCTCTTTATATATTTGTGTAGCTCTCTACTAGTACTACAACTTTCCTTAAAACCACGTTGCCAAATTTTGACTTTCATTTTTAACCCGTATTTTATATTTTTCTAAAAACCGAATCACTTTCATACGAACTGTGCTTTTGATCTTTTTCCTTTCAAAGTCCTTATCTTTCAGGTTACTACAATTTTCCTTTTTGTGACGTTAGCCAAAACTCAACCGATCTCTTTATGTTATTTTGACGCTAATAGCCTTATTAACGCTATTTGTTTTTATCTTTATAAAATTATAACTCCTCCAATTGAGGTCAGATTTTTGCAATGCTTATATCTTTGGGATCACTTTGTTGTGTACTTTCCAATTACAATAACCATCATAAAAAGTGATATAACTTTTTTGTCACTCATTTTTTACCCTATTATCATTATTTAACTGATCATATTTTCCTTCAATATGAAAAGTTTCATCGTTATCGTCGGTTGATGCTAATCTTTAGTGACAATTGGTGACGGGAAATTTCCAATTGTTACAGAAAAACCCAAAGCAACCCACAAATTTCCAGACAAACTACCAAACATATCCAAATATTGTGAATTCCACTAAGGACCAGACAACGACACGGATGACTTCAACGTTCTAAAGAAAGAAATATACGAATGCATCCACCAAGGGAAACTCAAAGAGATAGCCAGAACCCTCCGCAAACGACAGAAAACAAGTGAGCCAATCACAAGACCAATCAAAGAAAAACCCAAGAACAACGAGAAAGGACCATGAATTTTCGTCATCGAAACAAAACTCCATGCAAACCCCTCGCCAATCCCATCCGCCACAGTGGGCACATAATTATATTTCTCCCCTCACGATCCCATCATCCCAAAATGGGGAGGGGATGATCCCCTCATAATCAGAGGGCGGATAAAGAACACTACAATTCACAGGGTATATGTTGATGGAGCAAGTGCAGCAGAAATCACATTCGAACATTGCTCCAGACATCTACCTGCACAATGGAGAGAAGGGTTGGAATCATCACCAGGAAGATTAGTCAGTTTTGTAGGACACAACGTTACACCACTCGGGGAAATTTATCTGTCGTTCACACTGGAAGACAAACACGAAGTAAAACGGAAGACAGTATTACTACATTTCGTGGTGGTGCGAGCAACATCCGAGCATAACATTATTCTCGTGAGAAGAAGGATGCTAAAATTTGGAGTTTTCGCATCCACCATCCATGGTTTAGTTAAGTTCCCAATAGAATTTGGAGTAGCAACCATCGGAGCCATCATAAACAAACCTACAGAGTACAACCAGATCATGGCTCCCGCGGAAATCACAAGAAAAGAAAATGGATCGAGGGGAAGAACTGAAGGAAAAAGAAGCAATACATGACAGGTAACTAGACCAGAAGATCATATTCGGTTCCATATTTCCATCATAGACAAGGGAAAAACTACTCAACCTCCTGTGGCGATATAAACACGTTTTCTCGTGGGAACCGACATATGTGGTCAGAATACGTCAAGAAGTAATGGCACATAATCTGAATATAATATCGGGCAACACAATTTTAAAACAAAAAAAGAGGGGACGAGCCGAAGATAGAAACAAAGCAATAAACGTTGAAGTACATAAGCCCGTACAGGCAGGCATCCTTAGAGAAGCCACCATTCCCTCCAGGATCGCCAACCCATTATGGTCCGGAAACATTATGGCAGCTGTAGGATGTGTACATACTACACGGTCCTCAACAAGGCATGCCCAAAACATTTCTACCCGCTACCCGAGATAGACCAGAAAGTAGAATCTTTAGCAGGTTTCAAGTGGAAATGTTTCTTCGATGCGTACAAGGGATATCACCAAATACCGATGAGAAAAGAAGATGAGGAAACTAGGTAGATGAAGTACCAACGGTGTTATGGTCATATAGAACAACTCCACAAGTAGGAACACAAGAGACACCTTTCAGTTTGGCATACAACACCAAATCCGTTCTACCACAAGAAATACTCATAGAAACAAAAAAAGTAGAATCATTCAAAGATGATAAGAATGAAGAGGATCTTCGAATAAACCTCGATCTGTTAGAAGAAAAAAAGACACGTCATTATGACGTCAGTTGGCATACAAAGCAAATGTCGAGAGGTACTACAACAGGAGGGTGAAGGAACAAGCATTCAAGGTAGGTGACCTCGTCCTCAGAAAGAATGAAGCCATCCACGACGACCCAAAAGGCAAGCTCGGAGCAACTTGGGAGGGACCATACAGAGTCATAGATGCTCATACGAAGGGCTATTACATCCTAGAAACACTAGAGGGAAAGCCAATCCCCAAAACATGGAACGTCGAGAACCTGCGACGTTTCCACTACTAAAACAAATGCTCACGAAAGTCACTCCACACCTATGAGTTAAATCTTTCTTATTACTGTGTTTTCTTCTTTCAAATCAAAAGCATGTAAAAAAGGAAGGGCTGATCACCCTCTACTTCTTATATGCAACAAATGGAATGGGCCTGTTTTACTTAGTAACACTCGAGTACATAATTATAAGTTCACATGTGCCAACAAAAAAAATGGCAAACGGTCCCAAAGCCCTCTTCTTTGACCTTCCATACGTCTAGAGGACGATTACCTCGACTTATTTTTCAAACGGAAAATGGCTCCAAAGCCCCCAGCTTTGACCTGCCATACGTCTAGAAGACGATTACCTAGAATTATTTTTCAAACGGCAAGCAGCTCCAAAGCCCCTGGCTTTGACCTTCCATACGTCTAGAAGACGATTACCTCGACTTATTTTTCAAACGACAAACGGTTCCAAAGCCACTGGCTGACCTGCCTTACGTCTGAGGAACGAATTCCTTGATTCATTTTCCAAATGACACAATTCCAAGGTCTATGACCTCGGCCCACCTTACCACCTTGACCTAGGCGAACGATGATCCTAAAGACTAAAATCATGTCACAACAAACCATGAATGGATCAAAAAACATAAAGGGCTCAGTTCCAGATAGAAAACAATAGCAGACCAAAAAGCAAATTTACAAAAACAACAAATAGAGTCGACAACACAAGGATCATACAAGTAGACCATACAAAAAAGGGGAGCCAAACCAAAAACATGTCCATAGGGCCAAAGCAGGCCTAATATCCAAACACCAATCACAAACCAAAAGAACATAAAAAAATCAAGATGAGCTAGCTCCACCGCGCAACTCCGCCTTATGTATAAGCTTCCCCATATCCAGTCCCTTCAGGCCCAAAGCAGAAATGTAATCAAGAGAAGAAAAAGCATTGAGGGCCTCCTCCACAATCGTTTCATGGTCCAGACCATCATTCACCACCAAATCAGAGCCACCATCAATCAATTTATTCGCTTCTTCCACCTTTAACGCATTACCTGCAGCTACATATGCTTTACGAAACTTCTTCACTCCATAAATGAATTCCAGACTCTCCAAGACATGGCCAATAACCTTAGCCAACCCATCCTTCATCACCCCAACGAAGGTCAGCATCAACGCCCCCCAACAAAACAGACTTCTCTTCCACCGACTGATCTTTTTCAGCCAAATCCTTCTCAAGAGTCTCCATCTGGATGTTCAAGCCTTCGTTTCTTGTTTCAATTGACCAACCACAACACCCAAAGCAAGCTTGCCAAGTTCTAGACTCGCCACATTCTCCTCTAGCTCTTTCTTCTTAGCAAACACAACACTAAGCTACAACGCATCTTTTTCACAATCAGCAACCTTATTCTATAATGCCACATTCTCCACGAAGAGCACCTGCATTTATTCAACCATACGGGTAACATCACCATCCACCGTCATAAACTGCTCAAGGCGGTTATCACCCTCATTAGAAAAGCTTGCACTCTACGTTGCAGCAAAGAGAAATGACCCAACAAGCTTAGAGAGGGAATATTTGGTCATCTCGGATCGGGGTGCCAGGTGACAGAGAACTTATGGAAAAATCAACTGCAGACTCAAACATGGAGAGACGTGAATCATCCTTCAATTACCAGGAAGGAGCAAACACTGCACCACTAGAATTCCTAACCTCGCCAACTCCAACCATTGGAGACTCGACATACCCAAAACGCAAAAAACGAGGCGTTCGCCCCACATCACCCTTATCAAATTCAACATTTAGATGCTCTGATTCCTGCAAAATAACAACTGGCTTAGGACCAACAACATTTTCCTCAGCAACAACTTTCTCCATATTCCCATTATCTGAAATGTCAATCACTTCATTCTAAATAGGAGCATCGTTCGGATTTCCACCAGCTAACCTCCGGGGACGTAGACATTGTATAGGCGTTAGTCCATCAACATTATGCTCACTAACACTCTATCAGGTTGCCTTATGTTTGTTCACCAAAGGAAGCACCCCCACCTTACTGTCCTCTAGAAATTCATCTTATCCCAACCTATTCCCAGATAACTCAACACTAACATCTACACTAACAGGATTAATGGAGGCTGATCGAGAAGTTTCCATAATACTAACATCGATGTCCTACCTAGCGTAGACACGCGCAATAAAAACTTCATTAAAAAACGAAAATGAGGGAAACACTTTATCAACAAGATCCACTTCGCCAAACCGGAGACTACTCACCCATTTCTTAGCCAATACGTCCATAAAGTCGACCTTCTTCTCAACACCTAACAGTCATAAACTAGTCACTTATTTTCTTCCTTTTTAAAAAAAAGGTGTGGGGGGGGAGGGAAGGAGAAAGGAGAAAAGAAAAACATACATGAAGAATGAAAGTTGAGCAATAAGTAAGAAAATCAGAATGAACCTCGAGAAACAACATAAAATTCAGGCATTTTCCCACGAAGCCTCCATGAGGTACTCATTCCGGCACCAACAAGAATGACCTCAGGAAAATCACCACCAACAACGTGAAAACAACGAAGAACCTTAGGCATCTACTATTTATCCGAATACAAGGTAAAAGAATGATCGGGGATGGAGGCTAAACGAGGATCCATAGGACCTACACGATCTACATTGACCCATTAGTATCGAGCTGCCCAATTCTTGGGGGAATTCTTCTACTCGGTCACCAAAACATGACTTTGCTTTTGACCGATGAAAGTATAACTCTCTCCGGAGGAACCAGCAGCGAAATAGAAGAAATTCTAAAAACCCCAAATGTTAGGATTAATCCTGTTGGCTCGACAGAGCATCTCAAAGGCTACTACCTTATGATGATGAAGAACCTCCCAAAGCAAGTATGATGTCAGAAGGCGATACCCGACATCTAAATGCTTCACATAGATAGGGACATTGCCCTCCGACGGATCAATAAAACTGGCACTCTCACCGGGGACGGTTACCCCATCCTCTGGTTGAAAGCCACACTTATCTTGGAGCGCTTGATAATGATCGGGAGTCAGAATAATGCTAACCGAAGAATCCATTGTAAAACGAGAATAAACACAAAAAAGAGTGAAAGAGCAAGAATAGAGAAAAATGAAAAGGCAGGGACTATAAAATCATATAGGGGCGGAAATTCAAAAACTCTAATGATGACGGCTACCGTCATGGTTGAAACCGCTGCGACGTGCAACCGAAAAGACAACAGCCAAGCATTGTGGGAAACATCACCAGAAGCTAGTCTCATCCGTTACATCTAGGCATACCTACGACGCTACGAATAAGACTAGGGAGGCTTTATAGTGTGCCCGCTGGGCACACCAAAAATGTCAAAGCCGCAGGAAACACGACCAAGCTTGTCACCTTTTCTTCACCAAGATAGCGCTCATTCCATCATGGATTGCGCCATTCCTCCATGACCGGAATCCGGTCGGGAACATGCACAAGAAAGTCAACAGGTGACAAATCATCACCTGTTAACTCCATTCCGGGTGCACGCACCACTACCCTGGCTAAGCCAATCATTGCCTAGACATGGGACAAAGGTACGATCAACTAGTTAGCGCCTCTGTCCCGATCGGGATCTGACACCCCTGTCCCCACGAGTGGGATCCGTTCAAGATCCTCACTATAAAAGGCCACATGCCTCCAACGGTACATGTATATCTCTCTATCAAACCAAAAATCTCTAGGCCTTACACTTTACACTCAATCTCTCCCGAGAAACTGACTTCACCGTCGGAACATTCTCCCAAGATCCACTCCCAGAGATCGGTTGACGGCTTTTTTGATTGTTGTGATTGCAGAATTCCGCAAGAGATCATATACGCAAGATACTGGAGCACACTGGAGGTCAAATATAACATCAGTGATGATGGAGGGTTTATATGGGGTTGTGGATCAAATTCTGGAGATCAAAAAGTTTGGGTTTGGCGTGAAGCAGTTTCGTGAAGCTTGTGTGGCAGCTGACAATGTATTGGGTCATCGGGAAGTTAAAGAGTTGATTCAGGGTGACGGGCATTTAGAGGATGTGTCTGAAGGTGCTTTGGATTGCGAATTAGAGGTTGATGAAGCGTTGGATGCCCTAGCCTGTATGGACTATGATTAGTTTTGGGCCTAGGGGAGTTGGATGTTTGTGGGTTGAAGCCTTTGTTGCAACTTGATGGGGGGGGGGGGGTTAGTACCTCATGAAATTGGTTTTTTTTCTTTGTGTGATATTTTGTTATCTTTTTAATGTTTAAAACAATGCGCTTTATGGGTAATTAGGCCGGTTTGGGCATTTGAACACACTTGACCATCTTTTTGGATTCTATGCTCATGGTAATGTTGTATTGTTTTTGGTTTTGTATGAATTATTTTATGATTGTTGAGCAGCTCTTGGAGTGTCCTATCAAACTAGTGGTTTCTCATTGTCCCAGGGTTATGATTGAAGTGTGTTGTGGCTAATACTATAGCAATTAGGTCCTTGATTTGTAGAAGGTTTAATCAATTCAGGGATCATGAGCTTTAGGACTGTTTGATAGATGATCAGGTCGAATAGGGAAAAAAGAGGAGGGGGAGCTATTGCAGCAACCCCCATCTTCCAGGTAGGTCAAAGCCAAAAGTTTTGGGATTATTTGCCATTCAGAATATAAGTTTGAGGCATTGGCCTCTAGACTTTTGGCAGGTCAAATCCAAGGGCTTTGGAACCATTTGTCGTTTAGAATATAAGGTCGAGGCATTGACCTCTAGACTCTTGGAAGGTCAAAGCCAGGGGCTTTTGAACCATTTGCCGTTTAGAATATAAGGTTAAGGCATTGACCTCTAGACTGTTGCCAGGTTTGGAACCGTTTGTCGTTCAAAATATAAGGTCGAGGCATTGGCCTCTAGACTCTTGGCATGTTAAATCCAGGAGGTTTGGAACGGTTTCCGTTTAGAATATAAGATCGAGGAATTCACATCTAGACTATTGGCAGGTCAAATTCATGGACTTTGGAATCGTTTTTCATTTATCGTCACATGTGGTTTTTATAAGTGTGCACTTTAAAATGAAAAACTTTGTGTTGGATTCATATCAAAAGAGGAGGGTGATCAACCCGTCCTTAGTTACATGCTTTTGAATGAATAAAACATATGAAATAAAAGAGATACTACATGCCCTTGTCCGTTTAGGAAATACGCTTTAGTGTATGTTTTTCCGTAGTTGAAACGTCTCAAGTTCTGGATATTCCATGTTCTTGGGATTGGTCTTCCTTCCTTCATTTCAAGATGTATGACCCCTTCCTATGTGCTTCCACAACTTTGTAGGGACCTTCCCAGGTTGGTCCTAGCTTGTCTCCTGGATCTCGATGGCTGGCTTCATTCTTCCTTAGTATTAGGTCGCCAACCTTGAATGCTCGTTCTTTCACTCTTTTGCTATAATATTTCTCGATGTTTGCTTTATATGTTGCTTGGCGGAGAGTTGTCGTGTCACACTTTTCTTCTAGTAAGTCGAGGTTAATGCGGAGGTCTTCGGTGTTCTCGATTTCATTGAAAGAAAGTGTGTTTTGTGTGTATGTTATTTGTTATTATGGTAGAACTGTTTCCGTGCCATATGCTAGGTTGAATGGTGTTTCTTGTGTTGTGGTGCGGGGGGTGGTTATGTCTGACCATAACACAGTTGGAACCTCGTCTACCCAATTTCCTTTCTTTTTCCCGAGTTGTTTCTTGATACTAGCCACTAATGTTCTGTTGGATACCTCTCTCTGTCCATTGGCTTGTGGTGAGCTACATAGGTAAATCGTTGTTGTATGTGGTGTTCCTTGCACCATTGTCTAAATGAGTTTTTAGTGAACTACATACCGTCGTTGCTGACTAGCGTTCTGGGAGTGCCAAACTGTGTGAGAATGCTTTTCCACATAAATTTGATCATGCCACAACCGTTTATTGATTCCATTGGTTCCGCTTCGATCCACTTCGTGAAATAATCTACAGCTACGACCAGGAATTTGACTTTCTCTGGTGCTTCGCCAAAGTCCCCATGATGTCTACTCCCCATGTTTGGAATGGCCATAGGCTAGACATGTTGGTTAGTGGGGCTGCTGGGAGGTTTCGTATTGGTGCGAACGTTTGGCATATATAGTGTTGTTAAAAAAAACTATGTGTAGTGTGTGTGTTTTGTGTAATCTGTTATGTACTACATGTGTGTAGTGTGTACCTGCAATGTGTTTTGTGTACTTGTGTATTATGTATATTTGGTATTAGTATTATTAGTATGTGTGTGTTATTTAGACAGGTTTAGAATATATTGGTCCAATTTTGTCCGTCTTTGGTCCAAATTGATTCGATTTGGACTGAACTAAACTGCGGTTTTGTCACACCCCTAAACTGGAGCGGCGGAAACGTCCAGGGTGGATGACTTCATGTTAAGTATCACAACACATGCATCATAGTAATCAAAGTAAAACAACCATTGCATTAATAATGTATAAGTTTTACAAAGTTTTCAAGTCATTGTATATATGACATCAAAAGTTATATAACAAAAGATAGAAGACATGACTCTGTACTGCTCCGTATTCTTAAAAAATCTCGGGGATGTACCTGTCTACTGGTTCCCTGAGAATACAAGTATTTTGAAAATAGAGTATCAACATTTAAGTTGGTGAGTGCATAAGTATTTATGTTTAGAAGTTTGTTTTTTGTTTCTTGAAATAGTAATCATGTTTATTGTTCCTGAAAATCCAATATTTTCTAATATAACTGAAAAATAGTTTTAATACCATAAAATCGTTCTGTATAAGTGTTGTTGTACTATAAAGTACTGTAACATAGTTTTAATTCACAATAAAACTATAAAGAGAATGTTTTCTGTATTG